AAGGAATTACAACTCCGAGTAATATATTGATTTTCCTCCTACTCTTCAGCTGAGGTTTGACCCTCTTTGGCTCAGCCAGCCTGGGAATGTGCTCCCAGCTTAATTTAAGGGAAATCTGGCTAGGGCAGGACTGTGAGGCCACATCCCTGGGGTCAGGGTCTCTCATATCTCACTGCCATCCTTGTGTCCGTGCTACTCTGCTCTGTGTGTGTGTGTTTGCAGTGAACAGCATCACCTTGGCAGTGAATCTCGTGGGCTGCCTCGCGTGGCTCATTGGAGGCGGCGGAGCTGTAAATTTTGGACTGGCAATTCTCTGGCTCATTCTCTTTACGCCCTGCTCCTATGTCTGCTGGTTTAGACCTATTTACAAAGCTTTCAAGTAAGTGGTCGCACCTGAGCCTGGCTTCTTTTTGCCTTGTTTTCCTTCCTGAACCATCACTGTTTAGCCTGGGGCGTTGCCTAAATTACTAGGGGAATTTCATTCTGTCCAGCCTTTCTAGCTTTACTTTCTAACCTTCAAAACAAGGGTGTTTGGGATTTCCCGAGGGCCAAACCCCCAACCATGTGATGTAAGAGCACCCTCCATGTGCCTCTGTGCAGCAGCGGGGGAGAGTGGTGAGGATGCAGTTGGGGTGCAACTCTCCCTCTCTCTCATCCTTGAGGCTTCTTTTGTATTTTTCCACAAGTCCTCGAGGTGTTTGTATGGGTTATCCGTGCTGCTGAGATTGATTCCCAAATCTAGAAGTCTGGGGATGTATTTATTCCCCATGTGGGGTGGTGTAAGCCAAGAGCTGTGTCCCAGCATGGATGTCATCAAGCTCAATGTGCAGAGCTGGCCGAGCCATGGAGAGGGTCTGGTGCCCCCGTGGCTTTTCCCAGGTGCCCCTTCACCACCTTCAGCCTCTTGCAGTTTTTCTTTTGCCTTTAATTTTGCTTCTCACCACCCTCCTGCTAAATCACAGCCGGGTCTGAGACATAGGAGCATCTCCTCGAAGCACAGCAGGGATGGAGGTGCAGGGAGTGACCGAGCCCTCTCTTGCAGGACAGACAGTTCCTTCAGCTTCATGGCCTTCTTCTTCACTTTCATGGCCCAGCTGGTGATCAGCATTATCCAGGCGGTGGGAATCCCTGGATGGGGGGTCTGGTAAGGAAAATGCTTCTGTGTTGGGTGCAAGGGTGGTCACCATGGTGTTTTAACATCCTCGGTGCTTCTTGCCTTGGGGAGGATGGTTTGAGGAGCTGGGAAGGATGCTGGCAATTTGGGAAAGCTGGTTGTTTTCATCTCCTTGCAGTGGCTGGATTGCAGCGATTTCCTTCTTTGGGACCAATGTGGGGTCAGCTGTGGTGATGCTGATCCCCACCGTGCTCTTCACAGCCATGGCAGTCTTCTCCTTCATCGCTCTCACCATGGTATGGCAGGAGAAATAGGTGTGACACGTTGCTTCGGGGGGGCCCTCGCTGCCCCCCTGGGAGCTCAGCACCAGCTGCAGACACTCAACCCCTCTGGATTTTCCCTCCAGGTGCACAAGTTTTATCGGGGGAGCGGCGGCAGCTTCAGCAAAGCGCAGGAGGAGTGGACCACGGGGGCATGGAAGAACCCCCACGTACAGCAGGCGGCCCAGAACGCGGCCATGGGGGCGGCACAGGGCGCGATGATGCAGCACGAGACGCAGTACTCGGCCACCCCCAACTACACCTACTCCAACGAGATGTGAGCAGCAGGACTCTGTCCTCAGGAGGAAGAGCTGGGGCGGGGGGGGAAGAGAGGAGGAAGAAGGCTGAGCGAGTTTCTGCTGAGCTGTTTCGGAAAGCTGGAGTGTACCATAGTGGTGGTTCTTTTCCCGTCTTTGTAATGAGATCCTTTGGGATTCTTTTCTTTTCCTTTTTTTTCTTCTTTTGAGCTCTTATTTTCTCCTTTCTTTTTCATTCTGAAGAGGCTGTGAGTTGACCTGCAGGGCTCTTGTTGTGCGTGGTAGTCAGTGTCTGTTCACGTCTTTTTTTTCCCTGTGGAATAGTGTACAGTGGTGGTTTTTTAATTACTGTGGTGATAGGTGTACGTTAGAACCTCATCAGCCAAAAGCCCCCCACACACCCCCAAAAAGGGAAAAACAGCAACCAGCACCCATCTTCCCTCTTGGAATAAGCCCTGAACCACAGGTTTCTGACATGTGTGAGTTTTCTCTTTCAGTTGGTAGCATCCAGCCACTTGCCATTGTTTCATCAAGGGCAAACAGTCCTGGGAATTCTCCTTTTTCTTTTTGCTTTTTAACTAGCAGGTGGCTGGTTGATTTAGCATTAAAAAAAAAAAAGGGGGGGGGGAATGAGAAACCCTCAATCCTGCTGTTGATATGCTGGAAGCCAAGAGATTCCTAATCTACACCCTGGCTCAGGATCTACAACTTCTCTCAGTGTGTGATGTTGTAAGTGAGTAGTTTACACACTTTGACATGGAGGACCTGTGTGTGTATGTGTGTGTTTGTGTGTGTGTGTGTTGGGGAGCAAGGACAGGTTTTCCCTGCGGGATACAACTGTCCCATTCTGGATTCTGCATCCTGAGTCTGTTTTTTTTAAAAGGCTTCTGTTTTGAAAAGCAGTTGTAAAAGCAGCAGAGCGTTCCTCAGAGGACCTACTCTTGGGCAAGGCTGCAGGTCAAATCTTGCCACCCCGTATCCAAGCAGTCTCCCTGACGACAGAAACAGCCAGGCCAAGATTTGTCCCTCCTAGCTTTGGAGGCATATGCTAATTAAAGGCTCTTTAGGAAACCTCCAGGCTGGCAGGAAGCATTCCCACTTACTTGTGCTCCTAAAAAGCGTGGTGAGATGTGGCCATGTGTTTTCTTGGTGCAGAAATCCCTGCCAGCCCTGAATCCTGCCCAGTTTGGGGATGGTGGGCATTAAATAATGATCCTGCACCCTAGCAAGAGGCAGCTGAGCTCAGACTAACACCTCTTGGGGAGAGTGACTAGCACACCCTGGAAAAGACTGTGAGTGGGATCATAAATGGGATGGATGCTGCAGGGCAGGAGTCAGGAAAGCTACTTCTCAGAGATGCTTTTCAACTCTAAATGCACTTTAAATATGCCAATTTTTTTTCCCAAGTCCTTGAAAAGCAGTCCAAACAGAATCCAATCCAGCCCCTTCCTTAGCTCCAGTATCTCCTGCCTTGCACGGGGAAGGAGCTTGGTGTGCCACCAGCCAGGGCTATATGAGTCCCCAGCCCCTCACCCATCCCCTCCAGCCCCCCAGTGATGCTTGGATGTGACCCCTACCCCTGAGAATCACCCCAAAAAGGACCTTCTCTTCTCCAGCAAAGCACACCAAGACTAGTTTCCTTTTTAAGGTACCACTTCAGTCATTATGCAGTAGGCAGTCATCTCTTGACCAGACTAAAATGCAGCTATTGATAAAATGCCTGTCTGTGCGTGTGTGTGTATATATTTATGTATAAAATGTCAGGAGAAAAGTAATCCTTTGCTGAGCCTATTATGTTTAATCAGGTTTAAATATTGTGCAATCCATTTCTAGCTCGCCTAAAACTTACTCTGCCAAACCATGTGCTCTGTCATCCGTGTCTGAGAAATGATGGATTAAGTGACTTCACCTTTTGCATTGACAATAAGATGCATCAATAATAACTGTAACAAGCTGTAACTAACAGACATTGCTTCAGCACCTACCCCTCCTCTCCGGTGTGTCTCCTGAGTGTGTGAGCGCTGAAATGTGCCCCTGTGACACCAGCCGGGTTGGAAACTCTACCCTCTGTTCTCACCTTGATTATTTTTAAGCTGTCCCTGCTTAAGGTGGGGCTGATGTGGTTGTGATCAAAGCGGGGTGCTCCTGAAGCCCACAGGGTAGGAGAAATGGGGTGTTCCTGCAGCCGGGCAAGAGGAAGCTCTGGATAGAACACACCTGGGGGTTTCCTGATGTCTCCCTGTTGCTTCCCGTGTCCTGCAGTCAGCAAAACAGAGCTCTCTGCCTCTTGCCTTTCATGCTGCTTGCTTGTAGCTGATATTAGAGGGATGTCCAAATACAGCTTAAAAGCAGCAGTTATCTGGAAAGGGTTGTGGACCACACATTGCCCCAGATCTGTCGTGCTCGCATAATCATGGAATGGCTTGGGTTGGAAGGGGCTTCAAAGATATCCAGCAGGGACACCTTCCACTAGTCAAGGTTGCTCCAAGCCCTGTCCAACCTGGCCTTGGACACTTCCAGGGATGGGGCAGCCACAGCTTCTCTGGGCAACCTGGGACAGGGCCTCACCACCCTCACAGGGAAGAATTTCTTCCCAGTATCCCATCTAAACCTACTCTCTTTCATTTTGAAGGCATTCTCCCCTGTCCTGTCTGCACCTCAGGCAATAAGTGGTTCTTTAACACACTTTCCCCTGTGTGGCTGCCCTCAATCCTTGTAGGAAAGGTTTCCCTCCTGGTCTGTAGCACTTCCATGGGCTCAGATATCACCTGGAGCTGCCACTTGAAGGGACCTCAGACCCTCCCCTCTCCTCAACATGCCTTTTATGCCCCCACCAGCAGCGAGTTTTGCTGCCCCCTGTTATTGCCAAAACCCTGCCACGAGCCAGAATCCCCCTTAAACAACTTCCCCAGCACTCTGAAGCCACCCATGTGCCAGCCCTGGGCGAGATCCCCCTCGTGGGCTTCGCCGCCGCGGCGCGGGCGCAACTGCGGCACCGAGGGGCACAAAGGCCTCCCGAAGGGCAGCGGAGCCGCCGGAGCTGGGGCTGGGGGGGGCCGTGGGGGCAGGACGGGGGGGGGGGGGGGGGGGGCGGGAGGCCGCCATGACACCCGCTCCGCCCGCCGCCGGCGCCAATCGGCGCAATTTCCCGGCGGCCCCCGCGCGGGCCGGGTCGCCCTCAGGCCGCGCTGCCGCCGCTGGTCTCAGGCCCTGCGGCCGGAGCTCGGGGGTTGCCGCCCTGCCGTCATTGCGGACCGCGCCCGTCCTGCCTCCGCCGGTATAGAAACAAACGCTGTTTGTTATGTTCTGGAAACCCGCAGGGGGTTTCTCGGCGCTGTTCTGTGCATGCCTTTTTTGCAGCATTTCGGAGCTATTTCGAGCATCACTACAGCATTAAAAATCTGTTCAAATAACGCGTAAGGCCTCTAAATTGCTTGTTTTCCAGTGGCTGTTTCCCGAGAGCTGTATTTGGGTAAGAGAAAAGCGCAACCCAGAACTTTAATATCATTATTACATATATGTTGTGTATATTATATATTATTATTTTATTATAATATATTATTATATATTGTATATAATAATATATATTATGTATATTATCACAATATTATTAATATTATATTTTATATTATATTTTTATATTTCATATACTATATATAATATAATTTATTGTATTATTATATTATATATTATATATGTTTTTATATATAATATATATTTTATTGTATTATTATATATTATTTATTATATTGTATTTCATTTAATTATATGTTATTACAATATATACTAATATATATTGTATATATATAATTATATATATAAATATATCACATTATAATATCTTATATGTAATAATATTGTCTGTATTATAATATGCAGCTTTCATTATAATTTTTATCACTTCTACCTTTTTGCCATTATTTTACAATTGTTATTTTAAAAATATTTTATGATTTTGTAATTTTTAGTATTTTATAGTTACTTTACCAGTTTTAGAATTGTTTTATAATTTTTATAATTTATAACGTGCCTAACCTCTTATTCCCCAGGCTTTCATTTGTGGGTGCTTTGGAGAATTAATTGTCATTTAGGAATCATAAGGGAAATTTGGAAAGCATCCTAAGGATGTTTTAATTAGATAATAATTTTAATTATTTATAAATAAACAATACCTTTCTAATTTTAATTAGATATAGATTAATATATGAAGCATGCAGTAGCATTAAAATCCCCCAGCCAATGTGCTTGCTACATTTCCTCACCTCTAATTACCCTTGCTAATCAGCATAGCTGAAATTGGGCTCTTATCCTGGTAATACATTTTATAAACACGCTGAGAAACTTCTGGGGCTGGAGTTAAACATGTTAATTCTGAGCAGAGCATGGGAAAAGAAGGTGGTGGTGGTGTTGTGAGGGGATTAGAAGGGGTGTTCATCTGGGTGAGGGGCTCAGAATTCCACAAAGCTGCTGCACAACCATGAAGGATCCCAAGTTAACCTGCTCCTGGTAGTGACTGAAGGGTTGATGGGATATTGGGAAGAAATTTTCCCATTGATGTTCTGGCACAGGTTGGCCAGAGAAGCTGTGGCTGCCCCATCCGTGGAAGTGCTCAAGGCCAGGTTGGATGGGGCTTGGAGCAACCTGGGATAGTGGAAGGTGTCCCTGCCCATGTCAGAGGGTGGCACTGAATCACCTCTAATTTCCCTTCCAACCCAAACCCTTCGGTGATCCTATGAAATTCCTCTCTCTGGGGAATCCAGCCCCCTCACTCCAACATCTGAGTTGCTCCCAAAAATAAGGGCAGCCTAAACATCATCTTCTTCATCTTTGTTCCACCCAGAGTGCTTCCAAGCAGCTTTGTCTGAATAATAAGAACATCACTGGTATGGAACAAACTTCACTGAACATGATGATTTTTCAAGGACTGAATTTACTCTTTGCTAATTCCTTGTTAATTGATGATATTTTGATATTTGAGATATTTGTATCAATTCTAATGATTTCCTCACCAGAACAGTCATTTGTGATTTTTACTGGTGTGGCAGCAGCACAGGGAAGCCAGGAGGAGGCAGGAGACCTGAATTAAAGCTGCTAGGGAATAATTTCTAGTGCTGCTCTAAATATTTAGGAATACAATAAGAAATAGGATGATTATGCTTGCCCTGAGACCTCAAATTTTTAAATATTAAGACATCTCCCTGAATTTTTTATCCACCAGGAGTACAAGGAGAAAGCAACTCAGCTAGGGGTTGTATGTCTTTGCAGCACTTGATGTGAAAGGTATTTATCCTAAATTCTTGACCATGTTCAATGTGTGAGAGCATATTTTATTTGGTTTTAGGGCTGGGGTTAGCAGAGCATGTTTTTGGCCTCCTAGTACAGGTTTTAGGGGTGTGTTTACAGTATCTGAGAGAAAATTGTAATTAAACATTAAGCTGGGTTTAAAGGTTTGCTGGTGCTTGAAAGCTTTGTGGGTTAGACTCTGTTCTGAATTACTCTGAGTCCTGCAGAGTCCAGGTTTGGATCTGTGCCCTCTGGAATATGTTGGGGTTGGAGCCCTGCTGTGCTTGGAGGTTAGTCCGGTGTCTTTGTTTTTCTGTGCTTGCAGAGTTTGATTGGAGCATGGAGCCTGTCTCCCCGCTGGAACCAGGGATTCCTGCAGGAAAAAACTCACCCGTGCCACAGAAAAAATTCCATGTCTTGGTGGGGGTGACTGGAAGTGTGGCTGCTCTGAAGCTGCCCCTGCTCGTTGTGGAATTGCTGAAAATCCCTGGGGTAAGTAAAAGCTGTTGGTGGAGCTTTGTAAAGCTGGAGTTACCCTGTTTTTGAGGAGAGATCACATGCCTCCTGCTGAAGTGAAAAGTTCCTCCTTGGAGCCCTTCAGTTTAACAATTTTTTGGAGGAGAATTCCCCCAGCTTTTAAGACTTGATTTTTTTTTTCCCCTATCAATTAACACTTGACTAGGTCTTGGCTTTGGATGGGTTTTTTCCTGGAATTTGCTCTTGTCAGTCAAATTGCCAGATGTGGCTGCAGACAGAGGTGATGCATCTAGAACTGCAAAATCTCCAGGATATTGCAGTTTTCCATCTGTGGGATATGGATTTTCGAAATATAAACGCTGCTATCTGACCAAGAGAGGGGGAACCAGACCTTGTAAAACCAGAAATAGAAAATACACGCTGCTATATGAGTCTATGCACTTTTTTTTTTACTCTTAATTATCTGGAGTAACAGAAGTGCCCAGCAGAGGCCACTGGTAACTGATCAGGGAGGGAAACATGCTCTTTTCTGCTGTAGAATAAAGTTAGAGGAAACTTTTAAGAAATGGAGCAGATATTTTGGAGCAGCAAAATGAAAAACTGGCAGAAGCAAGAGGGAGCACTTAAATCGGAGATTTATTGGTTAAATTGCTTCATGAATATCCTTTAGAATGATTTGGAAGGGTTTATCTTGTGAATGCATTGAGTAGAGGCACGAGAGGTGCTGATTTATCTGGTTTATGTTGGTATCCAAGCTGGAAAGAGTACTGGAGGGGAGGCATGGGTTGCAGAGAGAAGTCTCAGTTAATTTATTGCTTGATCTGAAGTGATTAGTGAGGTCAAAGGTCCTGGCCTGAAGTAAGAAAGACAAAGAAAAATGATACCAAGGAAGGGAGTGATCAGCACAGAGCCAGAGATACGATCTTCTAATCCTCTCTCTCTTGGATTACCTTGGCTGTTGTCTCTTTTCCTTTTTTCCTGGTGCTTGGAACATCCTTTTGTGAAGTTAACAGGCAGAATGCAAGTGATCCATGGTAGGAATGTGAGTCAAACCCCTCCTCTCTGAGTGTTTGATTCATAATTAAAAGCTGCAGGTAGCTGAACCCAAACTCTGTGTGCAGACCTAGAGGACTGTGACATCTGGTGCAGACTTTATGGCCACTGGTTTTAGGTTTTAGTAGTATAAAAGGCAAAAGTGAAACGTCCAGGAGTTTCTAACACTAAATTTATTGATAAAAATTATTTATTTACTCGTTTCTGCTGTGATTTCAAGGCCTGCTGAGTCAGTGTAACTTTCCCATTGAGTTTGTTGGGTCCTACACAAGGCTGTTGCATCAGTTTCTTTACTGCTGGAGAAGAACTTTCCAAAGCCCTCGGCTGAGGTAGGGCAGGAGCCAAAGGAAGGCCTTTGTACCAAAGGAGGTGTGGTCAAGGGCTTGAAACTGGAGTGGTTAGTTTAAATTGTATTTTGGCTGAAACAATCCGTGGTGAATGACTTGGCAGGGTGATCTCGCTGCTCATTAAACTTTAACATCTTCTCGAGGGTGACTGCAGTGCACTGCCTTTTGTTTATCTTCTTTGGAGATCTGGGAAATTTCAACTGGGTGCAGATTATTGTCCTTGCACCTGGTGTGGTGCAGAGACAGCACAGGGTCTCATCATCTCACACACCTCATTCGTAGAGTTTTACAGTGGCAGGCACACCATGACAAAAATCATATTGGCAGGATATTGGTTAGTAATAGGCTTTTGGGAGACATTGGAGCCCCTTCCAGTCCCTAAAGGAGCTCCAGGAGAGGTGGAGAGGAACTTTGGACAAGGGCCTGGAGGGACAGAACAAGGAGGAATGGCTTTAAGCTGAAAGAGTTTATACTAACAGGTTTAGATTAGATATTAGGAACAAATTCTTCCCTGTGAGGGAGGTGAGGCCCTGGCACAGGTTATCCAGAGAAGCTGTGGATGCCCCATCCCTGGAAGTGTTCAAGGCCAAGTTGGAAAGGGCTTGGAGAAACCTGGGGGGTGAAACTGGATCACCCTCAAGGTCACTTCCAAACCAAACCATTCTGTCATCCTGTGATAAAGAAAGGCAAGGACAAACCTTTCTGTGGGTGAGATGTTTTGTCCTTGAAGCTACAGGATGTCAGCTGCACTTTAGGCTTAAATCACACCATGTCACTTCACTGTGCACGTGCCAGGCAGCCTCTACATTAGCTTGTAAGTGCCATTTAACAGGGGAGCTGCTCATTCACTTGTGGTGAGGCTGTCTGTGAAGATTTTGCTGTCAAAACTGAGAAAGTTATTAGAAAATAATCACACACACCCTTAAACCTGAGCAGAAAGGGCTGTGCCAGGAGAATCCTCTAACAGAGACCAGCAATGTTGCCTTGAACACAGGAGAGCAATTTTGCAGTAAAGTTTTATTTTGGAGATTTGGCTTAAGTGGTCTAAGCCAAAGACCTCTAACTAATCTAAACTGTCTCCACTGAGGGAATTTGAGTATGGCTAGACTGCCTTTATTAAGATATCCATGGGCAAACAGAGGGTGTGCCAGGTAAATAGGAAAAAAACCCCAAGCTATGTAGGCTAAAGTGATCTTGAGAACACTGATCTCTTTGCAGCATAGCTGGAGGGACTTGAAGGACTTGCTGAGAACAAGTCCCACCCAGCAGAAACCCACCCCAGCAGAAAACCTTCATTAGGGAGAATATTTAACTCACAGAGCGGTTTTCTTGGTGGAGTGGCAGAGTCACCAGCACTCAGAGTCCTTGAACATCCCTCTGGTATGTTCTGGCTTGTAGTGGGTTGGATGCAGTGCTCAAAAGCCAGAGCTATTCTCTAATCCTGGGCTTATGCTTGGAAGAGATAATTATTTTTTTTTTAATGGTACCATTTCAGAGACAAGACATACCCCTTCAAACTGCACAGTGCTCTTTAAAATCCCCAAGTAAATATTCTCTTGCAGACTGAGGTTAACACCTCACCCGAGCCCGTGGTGCTGCAGAGAGCGGCGTTAGCACCTTTGTGGGTGCTGCTGCTTGGCACGGTGCAGCTTCCTGTGGGGTGAGGTTAGCATGGAAATAATACAGTTAGTTCATGGCTGTGAATGTGATCTTCACGCTCAAAAACAGTACAAACAGCTGTGATTCCAAATCAGGGTCACTCGGAAAAGAACAGACATTTAGAAGAGGCAAAGAAGCAAATGTGCGATACCAAAAACTGGTGTCATGTGCAGCTATATTTTCCCTTGACTTTCCCTTCAGGAAATGGGGGAAGTTACCAAAGACCACAATATGCTAAGGCTGGGATTTTGCTCTGCTCCCAGCTGTTATTCTGCTCATACAGCCTGCAGGGAATCAACACTGCCCCATTCCCAGTAGAATAAATGGTGTTGGGAGCTGGGCTAATGTGGTTTGTCACATCAGCCACTCCCGTTGCAGAGAACTTGGAGGTTTCCAGCAGTTGGTTTCAGCAAGAGTGCACACACCAAGTGCTTAATCAGTTTTCTACCTCAAGCCACAATTTTCCAAGAGGCAGAAGCTGCTGGTGAGTTTGGTTTCTCCCCATCTCACACCACACATTGGGTTCTGTGAGCTGCTGGAAGGAGCAGACAGTAGTTGGAAGTGGATAATACCATGGAAAAGGGATATTTTTCACTGTAATCAGTGGCCTGAGGTGCATCTTTCACATTACCAGTTTTCAGAGTATTCTTTCCTTGTGCTGGCCTGCCTGTTGACTGGTCTAAGGAATATCCTTGGAAGGAATTGCAGATGGAAGTCCAGTTGCATGGGGGATCAGGGCATGCAGAGCCACTCGGACACTGCCTCTGATTTGGGGCTGGTTCTGGTGAACCTACGGTTCACTGCTTGTGGCAGGAGCTGTTGGCAGCATTTATCAGTGCTACAGGTCACTAGGGGAAAAAAAACCTTTTTCCACCAGTTTTCTGCAGGAAATGAGAGGTTCACCTTAGCACCTCCTAAGCATGTGTTTCAGATCTGAGGGATGGGATAGGGTTTTCCCAGTATATAACAATAACTGAAGGTTCCCCTGGCTTTGCAGGTTTATCTGAGGTATCAGAGAGAACCTTCATATCCTTTCACCCAGTCTCTCTTTGTGGAAGCCACTGGTTTACTGCACAAAAATGCTGTGCTATGAACATACCTACACAGAGGCTTTCCTCTTCCCACCACCTTGCTTTGATAGGAAGGATAGCTGGAAGACACAACTCCCACTTGTTTCTGGTAAGATCAGCAAGTCTGATTAACACTGTTTTAAAATGTAGCATCCCACAATCTCTAGCTTCTTCCCCACCTTTGGGATCAGGAGGTCATGGAGCGAGAGAGGTGGGGCAGAAGGAGGCAGAGAGAGGTGCAGGACATGATCCATTCAACCAGGAAACCATACTCTGTGTTCAAAGCTGCTCTTTTTCTGGGAAGCCTTGTGCAGCAGAGGTGGGTGCTGAGCCCCAGCATACCTACGTGTCTCTCAGCACCTATGTTGATCACTCAGCTTTCTCTTGGCACAGAGCTTCCTCTTGGCTCCCAATGTGGGAAGAGCAGTCCTGGCAGTGCCGTGTTGGCATTGGCCACCTTGTCAGTTGTGGTTCAGGGAATCCACTGAGGCGAGATGCTCCCTTCCTCCCTTTGGCAGGCATGTCTGGGGATTAAAGGGCATCTTTCAGTTTCACAGGGCTTTGGTTTGCTGCTTCTTCCCTTTGAAGTTCTGTGCAGAACTGCACCTCGTTGTCACCTGCACTGCCCTCTCTGCTGTCCTTGCTGTGAACGGGTTTGGCAGGTGGGAACCTGTCCATTTTAGGTTGGCATGAAATGAGCCTCTGTCTCCTGTGGATATCTGCGGTGGCTTGGCCTTTCAGCTTTGAATAGGCAAGGTCCTCTGAGAATCCACAGAGCTTTCAAAACTGTCCTCGAGTCTAACCATTGGTCTTGTTCTTTCTGCTTAGCTCGAGGTGAAGGTGGTCACTACTGAGAGAGCAAAGCACTTCTACAATGCTCAGGAGATTCCTGTCACCCTCTATGGCGACGAAGATGAATGGCAGGTGAGTTGTTCTTGCAAATAGAAGCACTCATCCAAGTTTCTTTGCAAGAAACCACACTTAGTTCTTGTTTAATCCTGGGCCAGAACCCACTCCTTGGTCTAGTAATGTATGTTTGGAATATGGCTTTCGAAGACCGTGATGTAAATGAGGAAGAAGAAAGAGGCTGCCCTGATGTACTGGAGGATTTTGTCCCGCCTCAGCAGACCTGCAGCAGGCAGTGTTCTCTCACCACCCAGGAATCAGCTGCTCTGAGAGGAGTGTCAGGAAATGTCAAGAAAGCCACTGCAGAGCTGTGGTGAGCGTGTTTGGTGCTTGTCGTGAGTCATACTTGTCACGAAGGCAGCAGCTTCTTCCCCTGAGCTCAGCTGTCAGGGCTGGGAACATCTCTGCACCCTGTAAAATGGCTCTTTCTCCTGTCTGCAGTTTTGCTGACACACTTGGAGAGTCCTTGAGTATGGAGAGGTCCATTGTATAAGCATGAAGACTTTTTTCCCCATACATTTTATCCCTACTTTGCAGTAGTGATCCTAGTAGAAGGTGCTTTACTCTTTACCACTACTCCTGCCAATGCACTCACACATGAGTATCACTTTTAAGAGGAGAGAGACATGCCAGTGGCAGTGGCTAGGAAACTTTCTGGCTGGTCTAGAGATTTGTAGAGATCTACTGGATCCCAGGGTGCTACAGCTCCAGGCAGTTATTTCTGAGGAATCTTCAGTGGAGTAATAGAAGAGGTGCAGGTCAGGCTTTGAGGTCTGCTGGCACACTGGAAAGCAGGCATGGAAACAATCACAGAATCACAGAATGCTTTGGGTTGGAAAGGACCTCAAAGCTCATCCAGTACCAGCATCCTGCCATGGGCCAGGACACCTTCCACTAGTCCAGGTTGCTCCAAGCCCCATCCAACATGTCCTTGGACACTTCCAGAGATGGGGCAGCCACAGCTTCTCTGGGCAACCTGTGCCAGGGCCTAATTAAAAGTGACTTGTACAATTAGGGGTCTGTACCTCGTTAAAAGCCAGTGGAAAGCTTCACTTCAGTGTGAAGCTTATAAATCACATGGGTTTCCTAGGAGATGTGCCCCTGGTTTGGTCCTACCTGGCTTCAGCTGGTTGGTAGGATGGAGCTCTTTTCCCTGCACAGGTGTGATATGTGTTGAGGGAACTCTTAGGAACAATTCCAAAGCTGAGGGATGCTGTGGATGAGGAAGGCTCTTTCCTGTGAGTTGAAATCTGTGGTTGTCAGAGGTATGAATTGTCTTTGTGGGGAAAGGACCTCCCCACATCACTGCCATCCCTTAACTGTGCTCCCTAAACACAGGAGTGTGTTTTCTGAGGTGGGATTGGTGAAGTGCCCGTTGTTCCCAGCGTTCCCTGTGAGGGTTTGGTGATCCCCATCGTGTCTCCTCCGCAGCTGTGGAAGGGCCGGTCGGACCCCGTCCTGCACATCGAGCTCCGGCGCTGGGCTGACCTCATGGTGGTGGCACCTCTGGATGCCAACACGCTGGCAAAGGTTGCCAATGGCATCTGTGACAACCTGCTGGTGAGTAACTGGGGCTCTGCCTGCCACTCCTCTCACCTCTCAGGACTGCCTGACCTTTCCTTCATGGAAAATTGTGCTTCTGCAGCGTCATGAACAGCGAGATTTGCATGTTCTGCCTCCATCTGCTTGTCTCTTCCTCAGGATGATTCCCCTGTCCTTTCTCAAACAGTGGGTCTTTCCTTCCCTGACCTACATCCCTTCCCACTCCTCAGTCTCTTCTCTTATTTCCCAGTCCCCACTTTTTGCTTTTCCTGCTTTTTCTGGAGGATGGTATTTATTTCTACCTCCACACTCTCTCTCTCATTCATAAACAGAAACACATACACACACACACACACACAGTCACTTTGAGTTCCTCTCTGCATTTTTTTGATGTAATCTGGAAAGACACCTGTGAGATTAGATAAAACTCTTTATTTCCTGCTACCTCATCACCTCCTCACCTAACATAGCACAGACATTCCAACATGCTCACGTTTACTTAACTTCCAGTCTCAGCTACAGAGTATTTTGCTTGTTCAGGCTTGGTTTTTTTGGTATTGAAAGTGCTCTTTAGGCTCTTCAGGCAAATCAGAAAGTGTATTAAAAGAGTGTGCTTCTCTGTTGGGTGCTGAGAACCTTCAGTGGGGCTGACTGTTTTGTGGCCAGGCATTAACCACACACAAGATCTCTCAGGAAGCAGCAGACTGCATGACCAACAGCCTTTTGGGTAAGAAATGCATATAAATGAACAAAATCCACCCGAATTAGATTACTGGGGTTCTGAGAGAAGTCAGAAAGAGCTGTGGGAGGGACAAGCAATGTCTTGTCCTTCTGGATCCCTTCAGTACTATGGATCTGATGGTTTAGCAGAGGGAAGAGCTCAGGAGAGATATCAGGGATGCATGGCTTCACAGATTCCTGCCAGTCTTTTCAGAGAGCCTGATGAAAGGAAGAGGGAGCTCCAGGAAAGGAAAGCAGGTGCTGGAGGTGCTGGTTGGCAATTTAGAAAATATTACAGCAGATATCCTTGTGGTGGGAAGGGTTCAAGTCACAGGATATAAAAAGGATGGGCATGGTTCCTATAAGGACTCTGATCCAAGGAGAGCCCTGCACCAGGGACTGCTGCTCACTGGGGAGCTCATTTGCGTGACTTAAACGCTGCTAGGCCTGGGGAAACTGATGGGCATTGCATTAAGAACAAGCAGCATTTATCTTTTTAAGGAGATGAGGTGATACTGGGTTATCTGGAAGTGCTGCTACTAGATAGTTTGTAATCTGCCAGCGTCTGCTGCAGCAGCCCATATGTGTTTGTGTCATCCTCTGCTTGTATCCCAGACTCAGCAGTGCTTCCCTACAAGAAGTTATGGAACCAGCTGCCAGATAAGTTCAAAAAGACTCACTTGCCAACTTTCAGTGTTTATCTTTACAGCTGGCTTACCCGAAGTGTTGCCCAGGGATTTCACTGTAGCTGATAAGAATTGTGGTCACCCCTCAACTTCTCTGTCTCCCACAAGGGCTGGCAGTCTGTGCGCATCCTGTTCCTGCTTAGTTTGCTCCAGGCTGGGCTGCTGGCTTGGCCCTGGGCCATAGCAGGATGGGATCTGTCCTCTTTGTAGCCTCCCTCATCTTTCCTGCCTGGCAGACGTGAGCTTTGCTGGAATGTGATACAAATTAGTCTCAGCCTTGTGAGTTAGTCCACCTGCACTGACAGATAGAGGCTTTTGACCTCAACATGACCTCCAGGCTGGGAAGGCAATTCTGTGCAGCAAAGGGATGGGAAGGAATGAGGAAATCCAACCCATTTCTTGGCTTCTCTTGTAGACTTGTGTCATCCGCGCGTGGGATCTGAGCAAACCTCTGCTCTTCTGCCCAGCCATGAACACGGCCATGTGGGAGCATCCCATCACAGCTCAGCAGGTGGAGCAGCTGAAAGGCTTTGGCTACACGGAAATCCCCTGTGTGGTAAAGAAACTCGTGTGTGGAGATGAAGGTCAGTCCTTTTCCGTGCCTCCTGACCCTTTCCCTGCCCCAGCACTGCTCTCATCCCAAAGGGGCGTGCGTCCTTTTGTTGTGTGGCCTCTGGGATGTTGAACTGCCAGGGTTTGTACAAACAAGCTGAAGCTTTCCCCTGTATTATTCCTCTTTATTAATTTTTAAGTAGTCTTAAGGGACCGTCCAAGCCAGGCTTTCAGATGAGCCTGATATTGAACAGAAATGCTCCTTCAAGAAGAGAGGAGATCAAAGAAAAGGGAAGCTCTGCTGTGAATGTTATCAGCCTGGGATTTGTGTGTCCTGACTTTGCCCTCTGTTGTGACTGGGGGCTGTTTTCCTCATGCCTCAGTTCATCAGCTCTGCCATCAGGATAAAATCTTGTCCCTGAGAGCAGACAGTGAGAAGAGCCCTTTGAAGATGTGGCTGAGGGTGTAGCTGGACACACATTTAACTTTTGTGGTATTGTTGTTGCCTGGGTTACTTTTCAGCTTCCCAGTGTTGATTTGGGGTTTTGATATCGGATTTATCTATGAAGTGAAAAAGGGGGTGGGGGAAGTTGTCATGGTCAGATTCAATAGATTTAGCTTGCAGTGCTAAGAAATAGTACTAAAATGGTCTCATTTGCATTTTAGGAGCTGCTTTAAATGGAGGTATTTTGACTTTTGGGAGTGGTTTTGATACAAACCATTTGGATGAATGGATTTGGGTTTTTATTAAAATTTTATTGGACAAATTGTCTGTAAAATGTCCCCAGTTCCAGCCATAATAGCAAAATAGAAAACATGCTATTAACTGCACAGTAGAATGCTCCTACTTTTGTGTAAAAACCCCAACTCCAGCAGGATTTTAACCACCCTTTCAGTTCAATAAACAGTCTGTACCTAAGCCAGGATGTTATAGTGTCCTTCAGGGTCAAATTCTAAGGCTAGCTTAATTTTTGAATCCTTAGGTAGCTGCAGTGCCTCTAGAGATTGTATTTTTTTATCTGAAGACTAGGAAATATTTACAATTAAGTAAGTGTAGTCAAGTAACTCAGGCATCAGTTGAAATATCCTGGATGATTATCCTTCCACTGGGATTTTAGACATGATTACATCAAATTTCTTCATATCCAGCTCAGCTGTCTCTGCTGTGAGAGCAAACTCCTGAAGGAGCTGGGAGGAGAGGGGTGGCACAGACAGCTGTGCTGGGAGCAGCCACCTCTGACTCAACTCCACTTGTGTTTGTGAGTCAGTTCACAACAAGATCTTCCTGTTGGCAACACCAGGATTTTCCTGGCAGTTTGTAAGAAAATTATGGCAGAGCAGTGATGGATTCCATCTCTCTGAATACCCAGTGCTCCACCACTGACTGTTTCACCTCTTCCCCTGTTTTTTCAGGCCTTTCACCCCACAGCCTCTTCCACTCTCATTTTGGTTTTGTGGGTTCCATCCACACAGGGGTTTGCCTGGGTTCCACCCAGAAAGCATATAGCAACACTCACACATCTGGTGCAGAAGAGATTCAGTTTGCACCAGTTTTGTCTGTTGACATTGTGGTTTGTTTTGCTCTAAAAGAGGTTTCTCTTCCTCAACCCATGTGGTTGGTCTCACCTGAAATGTGCCCAGATCCTCACTATCGCCAGGTTTCTGCATTACAAGCTTTACCTGATTAATTTTTCTCCCTTAGTAAATGGGCAGTTTTAGACAGAAAGTTCAGGTCAAAGAGAGTTAAACTAAATTAAATTGAGTTCCTTGTTTGGATAGTTTCCATACTGACAGTATCTTCATCATCCTTGGCTGGATTTCTCAAGCCAGGCACACTGGAAGATTTCTAGTTGTAGGCATAAGCTGTGCTGTAAGATGGGCTGCTTAGCAAGATTTTGCTTTGCTAAACCTAAAAATCCAGGTGTGAATTGCCAGAGATGTTGGAGAAGTGGGTGGTGGAGGAAGAAGGCAGGCCTTGGAAGTGTTCTGGAAGGGTGTAGCTCTGCCAAACCATGCAGAGACAGTCAGGGAATGTCTCTTGTTCAGCAGCACCTGTCAGGTGCAGCTTCTTTCCTCGAGCTTTAGAGAGCAGAAGGGTTAGGGTTATGATCTGCCTGCAGCTCATCCACAGGATGCTCCAGACCTTCTGGGATTTACAGGTCTGAAAAAGAAGAAAACAAAACCTCCCAGAACTAATTTCTGCTGAGCAATAAGGCATGTATTTTAAATTATGAGAGCTATTAGCCAGGAGGACAAAAACTCAGCAGAGACTCCTTTTCAGTCTTCCAAAGGAGACAAATGCCTATGGGAAAAGCATCTTTCCTCAGCTCCAAGCAAATAACAGAAGTGAGTGGCCTGAGTTCCCACTGCTGAGGTTGGACAAGATGATTTAATCATCTCTGGGCTTAAAATTCTGAACCTGAGTTTAAAAAGTATTTCAGAGGGAAGCAGCAGCACAGAGTAGATTAGATGTTCATCTGGCAACTAACTAGTCTGAAAGGAAAAGCTTTCCTTAGCCTTCTCCAAGAGTTACTCCCAAGATTCAGGCTGGTGGGAATCTAGGACTGCTTTCTATACCGTGGGTCTCACTGCAGAGTCATGGGAACAGCAAGTCTTTTGTATAGGGAAAGACCATTTCAAAAAGATACTGAAATCACACAGTGTTTATGCTGGAGAAAGGAGGTGAAATAGGGAATTTTGGTCCACACACACTTTTTCGGGACAGTTTTGCACACTTGCCCCCACCCTGGATCTCACCATGTGGTTTTGCTCTTACCCTGCAGGCCGAGGTGCCATGGCAGAAGTGTGGACCATCCTGGAGAGAGTTAAAAGGATCCTTGAAGAACTGGATGTGCCAAGGCAGAGCTGATGTTTTGGCATGTAGATGGTGTTTTTGTGCCTTTCTGATGGTTTAGAGATAAACCCAGCAGGAAGCCAAGCTGCCTGTGGGTGCCCCTGGTATGCATACCTATAGCTGCTCTTCAACAGAAGGAGCCAACCGTTGTCTTGCAGCTGGTGCCAAACTGCAGTTGGTACATCACTGCAGACTTTTGAAAACCAAAGCCAAGAATGTGCTGCCTTGGGGTGAAAAACTCTGTAGTATCTTGCAGACAGGGACTAACATTCCTGAGGCTGCTCAGCGCCCAGTACTTCACCAGTGCTCTGTTCCGAGGAGGCTGCAGAAGGTTTTTCAGCTCAAGTCGTTTCCCCAAGGACTTCTAGAGAGGAGAATGCTGTGCAAACTCTGGTGATGGGGATAATGCCAGCTCCTTCCAGCATGTGTGTTTTGGACCATCCCTGCTCTCCAAAGCTCGGTGTGTAGCTGTGCTGGCTGCATGTTCCCAGCAGGAGTCACTGTCCAAAAAGCATTTTCCCTCTGGGAACTTAATAAAAAAGAGCTTTTAATCCTGCCTCTGATGAATTGCCTCTTGTAGCTGCTCTGGAAGGTGTTCACACGTAACATCTTCGCTAAGTTGTTGTGTCTGCTTGTGTTTTTTAATCAGATATGGAGAAAAATTGACTGAAAGAAGCTCTCTAACCCCCAAATTAGCCTTTGCCCTTTTGTAACTGTTGGCTGTTCCATAATTCCACCTGCCCATCCGGGTTCTCCAGTTAGGAAATTAACAGGCCAGGCCCTCATAGAAAGCCAGGGTGCATGTTTCCCAAAGGAATGAAGTGAAACTTCACCTATGATGATCCTTTTCAGTTTGAAAGTTAACTGACAGGCATGAATAAATTGGGAAATCCTGTGCCCTCGTGGGCCATTCCAGGGCTCCCCTAGTCCAGTCCAGCCTTTCCTTGGGAATGTGATCTTGCTCACGGGGGATTGGAAGCAAAGTGGGGTTGTGAAACATGCTGCTGTAGCAGGGCACTGCTGATCAACAGAGTTTTTTAACTAAACCCAGACAAATTTAAGGCCTTTGGTACAGCACGTGCATCCTGCCTGTGGGGGAACCTCCAGCCTGCTGCACACGAGGGAGGAAGTTAACAGGTTAGGTTTGCTTGCCTTATCCATCCCACACAAGTAAAAACCTCTGAACTTTCCCTGTTTTGACTCTTCCACTGACAGAGATCCGGGGAGTCAAAGCTTTTGAGAAGGATCCTGGTGTGAGCAGAGCTTGTGGCTCTCACAAAGGGCCATAGTGTACTGTGGTTGTGAACTTTGCCAGGATTTATGGTGTGACCTCCTGCATCATTTGCTCGTGTTCTTACATGATGAAGCTCTCAGCCTCTCAGAGGATCTTGCTTTAAGCTTATTGAAGGCAGTAATAGAGATGCTGTTGGGTTTCCATGAGTTTTGATGGTGAATGTTGTTTCTCCTACTCACAGGGAAATGTATATTCCAGCAGTTACAATTGCCACTTGCCCTGGGGCTCTGCCATGGACATCTCTTGTGATCAGGGTTGTTTATCTTCCTTCTGGTCCCTGCCTTGGCAGCCCAGAAAATCCAACAGTGAGATTCCTCATACCAGGACAAAACACCATGTCCCTGGTAAGAGCCTTCATCTCTTCCAAGCCTGGTTTGCTGGCTTTAGCTGCTCCGTAAAGTTGACAAATGAACCTCTGCCTAATTGCTGTTATTTTTAATTGGAAGCAAGTCATGATAGCATTCCAGGCTGGGATAAGCCTGTGCCCAAACCACCTTTTCTTCAGGGTAGGTAGAAGAAACAGTTGAGTTCCTTTTGGGAGGCAGGAGCAGCTTCCAGCCTGGCACAAGCACTCCCCACCCACGGCCGGGGAGGTGCCGGCAGCCTGCGGGCAGGAGCTGCTCCCTGTGGAAAAGGAGAAGGAGTAGAAGCTGGGGGAAGCCCTGTGTGCTGTCACATGAGGCTTTGGGAGGGGGCTTTGGGACAGTGCTTTTCTAGGATGAGGCTTGGGGAAATGAGTGAAGGACCTGATTCCAAACCAGGGCTTTGTGCTGGCTCAGGCAATAGGTACAGAGTCTCCTTACCCACTGAGCTCACCAAGAGTTGTCCAGGGATGGATCCCTCAGGGCATTCAGGGTTCCAACTCCATGCCTCACAGCTATGTGTGTGTCTTGACTTCACAGGGGAGGCCCAAGACACTCCCCATGAGCTTTTTCTTTTCCTTCAGCTCTTATTTTTAAGCTGCACACTGATTTTTTGTTTCACTTTCCCATAAAAACTCTCGGATGACTGAGGCAGCATCCCCAGGAATCCTGCTGTGTTGCAATTTCATTCATCCTGCTTAAAACTGTTTCTCTCAGCATGGCTTGGGAGCGATAAAGAGTCGGGACAAAAGCTCAGCTAAGGCAGCAGCCCTCCTTTCCTGGGCTCAGATGTGACTCTCAGCATCCATGTCTCCAGTTGCTTCCCCCATCCCAGACTCAATGAGCTCCTTTTGCTGCATGGATTTGGGGGGGGCATCTGAGGAGGTGCCCTGATGCTGCTTTGGTCTGGCTTTGATCAGGAGTTGTCTCCCCAGCTGTGACTCGTGATGGGAATTTCATCCTCCCACATGCCTGTCCCATCCCACACCTCCATCCTGGGAGCCTGCAGCAGGGAACAAAAACTCTTTTAAAAAGTGATAAAACCTCCCGATGTTTAGACTTCTGTGTGATGCACCTGGTGTGGCGGCTTTGCACCTCAGCGCTCCGGATTTGGCACCTGCCCCCCGCCCGTGAGCGCCGATGCCGCCTCCTCCGGATCCCCAAAAGCACGTGAGGTGGCAGGAAGCAGGTTTTGCTCCCCGACCACAGCGGGGCTGGCTGCTGGGAGAGCCAGTGGCTGCCACTGGTGGTGGCGAGTGAGACCTGGCAGCGTTCGTACAGGTTTTTTTCCCCTTCCTTGCTCTGGTAGAATTCAAAACAACGCCCTGAGATGTGCATCTTCCTCCTGTAAGGTTACAGTGACGGGCAAGTGGGGTTTTTTTGTAGAAAAGGGAGATGATCCAAAGGGATAGCAGTGGTCCCGGCCTCTACCCTCATGATTTTGCTTTCAGTGTGCTTAATTTTTTTGCCTCACCAGCGCTCCTGACTTGGGAGATGCCTAAAGGCAGCTGAATCGCCCTGACTGGTGATAAGGACAGTGCCAAAAGACACGGCATGGCTTGGCACAGACTCCTTGGCACCAGTGACACCGATAGCTTGGTTTTGGCAGGACAACCTTGCAATTAAAGCTTCTCGGTGCAGTGTTCCTGCTCTGGTCAGCAGCCTTGGTGGGTGCTTGAAAAATTGTTTCCAGGAGTAATTGAGCTTAATTAGAAGCTTGAATTCCCTGGAGCTGGGATGCTCAGAGATGCACAGCAGAGAGAAATAATCCAATGGGGCAGTCCCCTGCTAGGTCTTAACCTGTTGTTTGGGGTTTTACTCCTGGACTTTCAACGTGAAATTTAGATGGAGACTGGAATTTTTCTCTGGGAGTCCTGCATTTGGTGTTGTACCTTGCTTTTCTGACTCTCTAGGGGAAACAGGGGATAAAGGGGATGGAATGAGCACAAAGCCATCATGAGATGAGGAATAAAGGTGACTTTTGGTCATCATGATGAAGATAAAATTAATCTGCTCCTGACCACAGGCTCCTGGGCTCCCTGGAGGGAGTGCAGAGAGATGGGCTCTGCATGAAGACTCCTAAAATCAGGCTCCAACAAACGGGATTGCAGACACCTCAGACTGAAAGCCGGGAGGGCCTGGCATGCTCCCAGCTCTTGCTCCCATGGCACTCAGCCTCCAGAAAGCCTTTGATGTCCAGTGCCAGCTGCCATGAGCACCCCAGGGACCCTTCATGCCCCCTGACCCCAGCCCTGCCAGCACCAGGGGTATCCAGGAATTCCCCCCACGTCCAGCACCACTGGCACAGCGGGTGATCATGCGAGGACAGGCAGCAGCGTGCCACCCCAGCTTCCCACCGCCAAAACAAGCTGCTGGGGTGCCAGCACAGTGATAAAAGCTTTACAAAAGGGGTTTATTCCTGCATGGCTCCTTGGATGGCTAGGAGAGCCTTTTCCCAGGAGGGCCGTGCCCCCACAGAGCAGCCTGAACTTCTGTGGCTGGCTCTGCTCTCTGTCTCACTTGATTTACGTGGGGCACTGGGGTGGTTTATAGTTTTGGAGAAATATGATTCACAAACTCCAGCATGATAAGGATGAGGGAAGAAAGATAAGACACGTCAACCTGAAGGAATGCAGCCAGTAGAGAGCCCAGCCTGTGGCTGGCAAAAGCCCGGGAAGAGGGGATCTGGTGTAAAAAGGAACAAAATGGGAACATGTGCCTGAAAAAATAGCTGAAAGCCTCCCATCCCTGCTACAGGCAAGCATAGCTTACTTCACCTGGGCTCTCATTCCACAAATCCACTACAGCTCTGAGGCCATGGGATAGCTCCAGGTAAACTCCATGGACATGGGTCAGCCAAACTTCCTAAATGGGAATAATTTACAAGCCAAGCTGTTGTGTTTGTGCAGGTCTGACTGTGCTGCCAGGGCTGCAGCTGCCCTCCAGACCACTGCTCTGCTTCCCTGAGGATAAAGGAACCAGAGTGGGGTCTGGGAGCCATCCCAGAGCCATCCCAGCCATCCCAAAGTCAGCTCTCACATGAGTGGCAGGCGAGGGAAGCATTGTCCCTTTGTCCCTTCCCTCTGCGGGGCAGCACCGTGTGCCTGCCAGGCATGTGGCTGGGGAAGCCTCCGCCTTGCCGGGCTTTCCTTTGCCAGTGGGGATGGGGGTGGTGGGGGAAACCCTGACCTGGTTCCTGCTGCCCTCACGTGCATCAACCCCCCGTGCAAACAAATCTCGACCTGGCAAACACGGCCCCTTTATGAAGGCAGCAAATTTTGGCTGTGAGAACACAGCTGATGTTGGAGCGCAGCCTGCTCTGGGATGCCAAGGCACAGGCAGACCTCTGCCCCTTGCTTCACTCTGGAATACCCCCCCTGAGGTCAGGGAGCTCCTGCTTTTGCAGCTTCTCCGGGAAACCTGCATCCTGCACACCCTCAGAGCAAGTTTGCTCTGAGGTGCTCTGGGTGGATGTTATTTACAGCAACATTTTTCATCAATATGAAATAGCTTTTGGTGAGGGCAAAAGCTCCTGAGGTGTGGACAGGGTGCAGCTGAAGCACCCAAACGCTTCCAGCCTATGAACCTTGCCAGTTGCTTCAGCAGAAAGTCAATATTGACCCTCCATCAGACTTGCACACATAGACACTCCTGTTACTGTTGCAAATAGTCTGATAGATAATTAAAATTTCATTGTATAGAAGAAGAAGTGATAAAATAATCGAGATTTGATTGTATAAAAGAAATTGTTTGATTGAAGGTAGAAACTTGTGAAGCACAATGTATAGAATTGTTATGGAGGGTTGTGTTTGAAGTGTGCAGTCGTGGATACCTCACCAAGAAATTACTGGAACATGTGTGTTAAGTTACTGGACCGTATATGCTGCTTGGAAACCCCCTCACCCCT